TGGGAGCTAGAATATAAACCTTATATTTGAACAAACAAAAATGATAGTATGTAAATCTTTCAAATAGACGGATCGAATATATTTTATTAATAATTATGAGAAAGAAAATTCAAATTCAAATTAAATAGAATTTTAAATTTTCTTCTCTTAAAATTTGATTTCACTATTTTTACTATATAACAATCTCAATGACTATGCAAATCTATTATTTTATTTCATAAAATATAGTATTCTAACTTCTATTGAAACCAACTATCAAAATAAAAAGTAAAAATAAAAATAAAACCAAATTTTAAAAGAACACACCTTTAATTCTTCTAAGGAGGAAATTGTACCTTGTCAAGGCATTTCGGGTTGTATCTAATACCTTCGGAGTTAAATAGTGACATGAGTCGAAGATGATGTAATACCCCCGATATTGAATATGAGGTTAAATAGATGTAATAGACTATTCATGTTACAATGTACAAATTCATTTTCGTGAGTCCTGCTGAAAACCTTTAGAGTTAAGTATGTGCGTGAGTGAAGACATAAGCATGCTGGAAGAACTCGTGTTGATCTATGGGGCCAGTCATCGATCCCGACACGCCCAGTTGCGTAGCTTGCGGGCCGCCGTATCACAGTTGGTATCAAAGCCGACCTGCGACAGCTCGCAGTCGTTGACCGGACTGTTGATGGACCTAGCAGTTGAGGGGTCCTTGAATGCAACGTGAACGTTGCATTCTTAAGTGGGAGATGATGTAATTTCCTCCGGAGTTAGGCTTTAAAGATAAAAACAAGTTAAATATTTTTTTATTTGATTGCTATTTCATCTATGATAAATAAACAAGTAGATTAATCCTATTAAAAAATAATAATAATAAATAAACAACAACAACAACAATAATAATAATAATAATAATAATAAAATAATAATAAACAACAGGTAGATTAATACTAATAATAATAATAATACCTAAAAGAATTCCTACACTGCGGTTGCCTCACCAAGGTAGGGGTGGCAATTCTAAGTTACTGTTTTTTAAAAATTGTAAAATAATTTAATAATATTATTTGAAATAAATGTAAGAATTGAACCTATAATATACAATTAATAAATATATTTTAATTTTTAATATACATTTATTTGTTATTATATTTATAAAATTATTTATTTGAAAATGTATTTAATTTATTAAAACGGATTGTGCTAAGCACAGTCCAAAATTTGTTTAGAATTTTTTTTTTTTTTGTCAAAATTTTGAATTGTATCTATTTTTGTCATCTCCATTCCAGCAGTGCAATCTATATATAATTTTTTTTTTATATTAAATTTAATTAATCTATATATTAATATAAATAAGTTAGTGCGGTTTGTTTATTTATATTTTTTGTTATTTTGATGCTTGGATTATAGGAATATGGATGAGGTTGTATTAGTTTGGAGAATTTTAGGAATTTTCTACTATTTATTACAGTATTTTTTTTCTAAAATAACAGTAAATCAAATTTTTTTTTTTTTTTTCTATTATACTGTTTCCTAATTGAAAGAGGTTATTCGAATTTTAGATTAGATTAATAAATAATAATATGTTATTTGTCAAGAAGTTTATGAATGATTTTAATATTTTTATCTTTTTATATTTTATGTATAAAATAATTTTTGTGTAACGATATATTTGTAATTTATGTAAAAATTAAAGAGGATTTTTGTAGTAGTGTGATTATTTTTAGTATAAATTATATAATACCTCGTTGTGTTTTAGAAAAAATGCATAAAACACCTAATGTTTTATTTATTGCGTGAAATTCATTGTGTTAATATAAAGTTTGTATAAACTATCCTTCTTGTCCGAAACCGATGTTTGATTCTAAATAAAAACGTAAATTACGAAAGTTTTATACAAATAAAAATATATAAAATATCTTAAATAATTTTATTAAATAAAATAAATAAAGAAATAATTGTCAATCATTTATTTTTATAGTTTTCGTAAAAATCATATAACAATTTATCTCAAAAAAGAATTATAAAATGAAGGGTTAATAAATTATTTATTTATTTATTTCATTAAAAAAATTATTTAAGATATTTTATTTCTTTTTATTTGTATAATACATATATTATTGGATTCATATTTACAATCAAATATCAGTTTGGGACGAAAATGGTGTTTCGTGCAAACTTTTATATTAACATGATGGGATTTCATGCAATAAAAAAAAAAAAATGGAGTATTTTATACAGTTTTACCAAAATACAAGGGGTGTTATATAATTTATCCTTATTTTTACTATATTACATAATAAATACTTTTGAGTGAACGAACGAAAATAATTAAAGAATCTTTTTAGTTAGGACAAAAAAGGTATTAAAAAATAATTTTATATTTAAAATACTATATTAACATCTAGGGGCACGGACGAACGACTATTAGCAGGAGCAAAGTGAAACACTATTCAATGCCAAAATATGAGAAATGACCTATATTTTTTAAAATTTTAATATATTATTATTAGATATATTAAATTTCAAAAATTTAAATTTATATTTATATTTTTTTTCTTCATAATTATCTAATTTAATTTTAATTGTAAAATTATTGGCCCCTTCCATTATTATTATTATTATTATTATTTTTTTTCGGGCATTGGTTAATTTTAATTCTCTAATCTATTCATTCTAATTCTTTTCATTCAATTTTTGGGATAAATTGTTGTATTATGGATTTCAGGAGTGCATGTTGCACTCCATACTCGCGCTATCTATGTCCAGTTGCGCACTGTCCAACGCCATGTCTTGTTGCTATGACGCCGCGCCTTGTTGTTTCTTCGGTGCAGAAAATTTTAATCCAGGCTTTCTTGTTCTTTATTTGTTAAAATTTAGAAATTAAAAAAAAATTATGCATTCTAAAAGAAAGTATGAGTCGTAAAAAGAAAAAAAGAATTAATGAGCTAATTCAATCTCGTAGTGGAACATATGAACGTTTATTGAATATATTATTAAAATAATTTTCACTATGGAATTTATTATTATAGTTTTCGATTATATTATTTTGAAAATGGATGTAATTATATGTTTATAATGCCTATATTATGTTTTTTGCTCAGGGACTTTAAAAAATCTGAGGCGGTCCTGTGTAGGGGTGAACATTGGTCGGTTCAAACAAAAAAAATTGATTTTTTTTTGTTCAGACTGTTCGGTTAATTGGTTTTCTTCGATCCAAAATCAAATTTATAAATTTCAGTTTCGAATTCGGTTTATAGTTTTCAATTTTTAATTTTGATTAACTGAAAAAATCGAACTTTTGAAAGTAATAAAAAAATAATACTACTAATTAATATAATATATTATAATTTTGAGTATTTGTATTTGATTGTATATGCAAATAAATAAAAGTTCGATTTCTTCGTCTAAATCAAACCAAAATGATTACAATTTTTATAAACTGATAATCGATGAAAATTAAAAGTTGGGTTTGTTTTGAACCAACGGACCAATGCACACCCCTGTTAACATCTATATAATGTTACAAATTTATTTAAATTTAAAATTTTATTATTAAAAATTCAAACACACCCTAGAACAAACTTGATCTAGTTATAAATTTTAGGGTAATCTATTTTTTTTTAATCTCGTATCTGACTTCTTTATCATTTTAGAACTATAAGTGGACCATGTCTCAAAATAATCCGTAAGTAAAAAACTTTTGCTAAAATGGTCACCCGGTGCCGGACTCGCCACGCTGGCTCGCCATTGCTGACGTGGCGCTGACACGGCTGACATGTTATTGCCATATAGATGCCACATCAGAGGACTATTTTAGCGAAAAATTTTTATTTACATGACTATCTTCAGACATAATCCACGGGTGTGTTTGTTTGGGGGATTGGATTGGATTTACACTATTCATCCAATATTTTTCCACAAAAAACATCAAATCAAACACCTATTTTTCATTTTTTATATTATACTAAAAATCAATTTTATATTCAAAACATCACATCAACACTTATTTATATCACATCATACAACTATTCAAATTCAAAATTTTTACTATTCAAATCCCAACTCAAAATTCAAAACCCCAAACAAACACACCAATTCCTAAAAATAAAATAAAATAAGTCACATACGAGACTAAAAAATAATTTACCAAAATATTTTGTGAACTAAAATATTAAAAAGATTTCCACGTGTTCCTGACGTGGCAATGCCGGACCAGCGTGGTGAGTTTGGAACCGAGGACCATTTTAGCGAAAAATTTTTATTTATGAGACTATTTTCAAATAAGGCCACTTAAAGTTTTAAAATGATAAATAAAGTGAGATATAAGACTAAAATAATAATTTACCCTAAATTTTATTGTAGCATATTTAATATTTAATTAAAATGTATTTTTTAATTATATTAAATAATTTAAAACTTTTAATATTATTATTATAACATTATAAATAAATGATAAATATTTAGAAAAAAATATATATTTATTTTAACATGTCGTTTTTAATCATTTTAATTTTTTTGGAAGTAGTTTTAATTTGATAGTATTAAATTCAGACAACTATTTTTATATGGAAACTGTTTTCATAATTAATACAATTACTTTGACTTTTTAACTCATATTTTTGTTTCTTTTTTAAGGCATCCTAAATGCAGAAACGATAAGCACATTGTTAAATTGAAGTACATGTCTATTGTCTGACCAAATATATAAATATATATATGTATGTTTTCTTGTGTATGATGTGACATAATGTACGAAAATGTTTTGAAATAAAACTATATATGCTAGTTGGTCTTCAAATTCTACAAAATTATGGTCAAAATGTCTGCTTGCACCTATCTTAGACCATTTTCGAATTTGTCATACAAGATTAATAAAAATAATGATATTAATAATAATAACAAATTAGAAAGACAGTTCCAAGAAATTTCAGTGTAGACTGCAACTTCCCGGCAATTGCACGATAGGATGACGTGGCGCAGGCAACTCTTTCTCTTTATGAAATAAATAAATTCAGGCTTTTCAATTCATTATTATTTTTAGTTTTATATTTCAGGGCCTCTTCTTGTCTCTGCCAGCCCATTTCAGCCTTAGTTGAATACATGAAATGGCTAAACTCGTCGCCGCCGCCGCCATCGCCGTCGCCGTATCTTTTCTTGCCTGTTCCGCCGCCGCGAAGCCGGAGACGTTCCGGCAAGAATACGGGCCTTTCAACGAGACGCACTACGACATTTTCGAGGTAGAACGGCCGGCGACTATCAGCAACGACGCCCTCCAAATCACCCCCGATTCAATCAACGGCGATTTAATCAATCTCTACAACAACTCCGGCCGCGTTCTCCTCAAGCAACGGTTCAAGCTCTGGGAGGGTGCCGCCATTGGATCCGGCAACGCCACGGCGGCGGGCGGCGGAGCTCGCCTCATAGCGTCCTTCAACACCTCATTTCTCGTCAACATCTACAGGCCGAAAAACGAAACCGCCGGCGAGGGCCTGGCGTTCGTCATCGCGCCGGACCTCGAACTCCCGGCGAACAGCTCCGGCCAGTTCCTCGGCCTGACGAACTCCTCCACCGACGGCGACCCCTCCAACCGCCTGGTGGCCGTCGAGCTCGACACCTTCAAGCAGAGCCCCTTCGATCCGGATGACAACCACATCGGAATCGACATCAACGGCGTCAGATCCGTCAAAACCGCGCCGCTCGCGCCCCACCGGATAACCCTAGCGCCGATCGGCGCCCGGTTCTACAACGTCTGGGTCGACTACGACGGCGCCGGCAAGGCTCTGGACGTGTACATCGCGGAGCAGGCGACTAAGGAGGGCCCGACGCCGCCGAAACCGGAATCCCCAATTCTCTCGGAGGAGCTAAACCTAATCGGTACGGTGAGCCAGTACTCCTATTTCGGATTCTCCGCCGCGACCGGAGACACGATGCAGCTGAACTGCATTCTCCGGTGGAATCTGACCGTTCACCATTTCGGGGAGGAGAAGTCGAAATGGCTGACGGTGTTGCTCAGCGCCGGAATTCCTTTACTGGTGGTGGTGGTGATGGCGGCGGCGGCGGTGGCGTACTACGTGCACCGGCGGCGCGTGGCGCAGTCGAACCCGAGCATGATCCAGGCTCTGAAGAGCCTGCCGGGGACGCCGCGGGAGTTCGAATTTAGGGATTTGAAGAAAGGGACGAACAGCTTCGACGAGGAGCACAAATTAGGGCAAGGCGGATACGGCGTCGTATACCGGGGAAGGTTGGTGAAGGAGAATATGGAGATCGCCGTGAAGTGCTTCTCCCGGGAGAGCATCAAGGGACAGGACGACTTCTTGGCCGAGCTCACCATTATCAACCGCCTCCGTCACAAGCATCTCGTTAAACTCCTCGGTCAGTCATTCAATTCACTTCATCATTTTGTTGAAATTTGGCGATTAATTTAACTTCTTTGGGACCAAGAATGGAATTGTAGACAAGTAAAAAGTAAAATTGCACTAGAGAATTAAAATCTTACTCGCTAAAACAGATAATTTAATTAAAAATATAAAAGAAAAATTATAGTTATTTTGATAGATCGATCAAAAATTAATAAAAATATAAATATTTGAATGACAAATTAAATATGATGTTTTATAAAATTAAAACAATATAATTTTAAAAATAATTATACTGAATTAATATACAATTGTCTTGATAGAGAAATGAAATTAAATAATGAAAAATTATTTATCTTTTTATTTTCAATTTTTTAGATCAATCAAATATTAAAAAATAAACAATTTTCATTTTGATGGCCTTCAAGACATAATTTATGTTTGTTTTTCTTTTTTTTTTTTGGATCGGAATGAGTTATGTTTGTCTGTTAAGAGTAGGGTAAGGTTGAAGAAGAATGTCTAAAAATTCGTTGGTCATGGCCAATGAATAAATTCAACTAAGAGGCTTGGGGACAACGTACGAAACGTCGTTAGTATGTGTCCCACTCCCACGCACGGTACGGCCCCCCGCGCAAGTCAGAGCTTTGACTAACCAAATAACCTTCTTTAATTACCTGGATTTTTCCGAATCTAGGCTTAGGCTTAGGCTTGGTTGACTTGCTGACTCCGTTAGAAAAGTCCATCATCATGTGTTTTACATTTCAATTATTACTCCTCCAATCAATGAAATTAAATAGACGAATGAATGAATTGACTAATTAAACGACAGGATGGTGCCACAAGAACGGGAAGCTGCTGCTGGTGTACGAGTACATGCCAAACGGGAGCCTCGACAAGCACCTATTCGTGGGGGCGGAGACGCCGCCGCTCCGGTGGAGCATCCGCCACCAGATCATCAGCGGCGTGGCGGCCGCCCTCCACTACCTCCACAACGAGTTCGAGCAGCGCGTCGTCCACCGCGACCTCAAAGCCAGCAACATCATGCTCGACTCCAACTTCAACGCCCGCCTCGGCGACTTCGGCCTCGCCCGCGCCCTCGACAACGAGAAGACCTCCTACGCCGAGGCCGACGGCGTCCTCGGCACCCTCGGCTACATCGCCCCCGAGTGCTTCCACACCGGCAAAGCCACCCAGCAATCCGACATCTACGCCTTCGGGGCCGTCCTCCTCGAGCTCGTCTGCGGCCAGCGCCCCGGCGCGCGCATCGCCGGCTTCCAATTTCTCGTCGACTGGGTTTGGTACCTCCGCCGCGACGGCCGCCTGCTCGAGGCCGTCGACAAGAGGTTGGGCGACGGCGACTATGTCCCCGAGGAAGCCGAGCGGTTGCTCCTGCTGGGGCTGGCGTGCTCCCACCCGGCAGCCAGCGAGAGGCCGCGGACTCAGGCGATTCTTCAGATGATATCGGGGACTGTAGCAGTTCCGGTGGTGCCGCCCTTCAAGCCGGCCTTCGTCTGGCCGGCGATTGGGGGGCCCGTCGACTTGGAGACGACAGGGAATAGCAATACGACGACGTCGCATTTTGGGTCGGTGTGGAGCCCGCTCTACCTCACCGGGAACACTACCGATGACTCCATGTCCATGGTGTAGGAGTAATTCTCTCTCTCTTCTCTTCTCTTCTCTTCTCTTCTTTCTCTCACTATATATATATATATATATATGCCAAAGGATGATACGTTGTGTTTTTTGAATTGACTTCTTTGGTGAAAGATGAAGAATGAGTATAGTGAAGTGTGTGTGTCTGTCTGTACGGTGGTTTATTTTGTTTGTTCGTTATTTGTTTGTTGGTTGGAGAGGATATCAAAAGATTTCCGGTCTCCTGTGGATGTTCTGTGAATACAACGGTATAGATGATATTTGGGCGATGGATTTCTTTCAGAGTTTATTTTCATTTCATTTCTTGTGGGAAATAGAAATTTATATGTTTGTTAGTTTATTAATTACGTATTGTATCGTATAAAAGCAATGACATCTGTCTAATATATTATAAATTAGAAGAGTATTTGTAATGTTACGTAAACAGTACAATTATTAAAAAAAGAAATTGATATTTCGTTATGGGATTGACCAAAATAAAAAAAAAATGGATAGATTGTTAAAGAACGGAAATGAGTATATTATTTGACGGAGCAAGTGATTTAACTCCGTTAGCATATTTAATTAAAAAAATATAATATATATATCCAACTGCATATGATAATATAATATTATTTTTATCCAGCTCTAAGAGTTCCATTTATTTTTTGGGTACTGATATTTGAATATTAATTATTGTATGAAAACGTATTACAAATTAAAAAAAAATGACAAATATACTGTTATTAGTATCTTATAATACTATTATAATGACATTTGTGCAACAAATTATACAAATATAAATATATTTTTAATATTAAGTACAATAACGCAAAAGATAAATGAGACCCCTAAAGCCGGACGAATGGAGTGTATATTACACATTAATACAACATATATTATCTATATAGTGGTTAGTGCCCTATATATATAGTACCAAGTAGTTTAGGCCAATCAACTTAATAATGTATGGCCGTTGTTGTGTAACAAAAATAGATAACAAATCCAGTATATATGTATATATCCGAATGATTAAGCTTATCTTTAGGTGTGTCTACTTCGCCATGTAATGACCACTTGACTAAATGAATTAGATATTACAGAACCAACAAAACATATATCACTGGCCTGCAACATAGCTAGGTGCCAAAATATTGGCTTATTAGAACAACCGCATCTAAGAATTCAATTCTTTGTTATTTCTCCGTGCTTCTAAGTCTAACATTTTTTACCTATCATATCAATGGAAAAAAACTCATTTTTGTTTGGAGGGAAATTATCGCCCCTTGTCTAACCAACTCCTCAGCGTATTAAAAAGATAAAGTAAACTAATTTTCTCAATTAAGAATTAGGATTACATTAGTTTATATACATGAAGGCCTTAGGCCAGACTATATACATAAAATATATATTTATTAATATTCCCTCAAATTTAAATGGAGCAAAAAGAATACATAAATAGACTAAGACTCTGCCTCAAACTGTGAAAAGCAGCTTGAGTTTGCTCAAGAGTAACTAAAAAGGGCAAGAAATGTGGAGTTTGGTGAAGCTGTCTATAGTCTAATCGTCGGAAGTAGCGGGAGATAGTAAGACGGTGTTATAAACAAAATGATGATGGATAAGATGACAATCAATTTTTATGTGCTTTGTGCACTCATAAAATACATCATTGCTCGAAATCTTCATAGTACTCTAATTGTTCAAATGAACATAATTACCAAAGGATTGAGGCATATCTAGATCAGCCATTAACCAATAAAGCCACAAAATCTCAGCAACAGTGTCAGCGAAAGCTCTATACTTGGATTCAATAGAGTAAACTTGTTCAATATAATTTATTGCATCCTCACATTGGTTGTTGATAGTTGAAATCGCATGGTGGTAGGTGATTCCAATTAATTGTCATCTCCTACATATTCAATTTCTTGCAGACAAGTCAACACAATGTTTGCTACTGTTGAAACAAGAAATATGATAGTGTGTCATCATATTTCAATGGAATATAATCGTCTATCCTTCCTCAATTCTTAGACGATACTTTTATGATTCTTGGACATATGGCCTTATTAGTCCACTGCCTCCAAGTCAGATTCCTATTCTTTTGAAGCCTCTGCATCAAATACTCCCGAAGTGATTCCAGTATGCTCAGAATATGTTTATCCTTAACATCACTAATGCATATGTTGAAACTTTAACATAAGTTGTTCACGAGAAAGTCACATTCGGAAAACACTGGAAATGGACATGCTCCACTCAGTTGCTACCCAATTTCCTAGCCATTCAAAACCCTACTCATCAATTTACTTCAGTTCCAACTTTGTTGTCTTGGATTCACTCCTTATTGTTTCCTTCGCAACTTTCTATGACCCATTCCCCAAAGCCAAACTCTCAAATCCCATAGTCATGAAGTTATTATGTAAGTTTTGGACACAACTCCTATATTCTATTCCTGAAAATAAAATCACCAATGCATTTATAAGCCTCTTATGCTTGTTAGATATGAAACACACCTCATGGTTGTTTCTATATCCAAATCCCTCTTAAGGATTGCCAATAACCACGTTCAAGTTTATATTGTCTCGTTGGAAACTACTGCATATGCTATTGGGAATATACAGTTGTTGGGATTAACCTCAACACCTGAGAATGACTCATCCATACAAACTCCTCGCGTGAAAGCCATCCACACCAATCGAAGGCCTACATCCAATCTTTGAACCCTCTTTTCAATGCATCAAAACAAAAATACATCATATCGAAGATGAAATCTCCCTATTCCTTTCACAACCAAATGACACCATGGAACAAACATTAGCTTCCCTAAGCGCATGTGCATAATCTTATAAACGACTATATTAAAAAATAATATCACCTTCCAAGTCCTACAATACCTTTTTCCTCGCCCCTGTAACTCATGCCCTTAGAAATACTGACCTTCAACTAATTCATCACATCAATACAAAATGTTTTCATATTTCAGGAGTGTACTATACTTTTTACTCAACCACTTAATCTTTATATTGATCATGTTGAACTTCTTTTCATAATTGTGCTCATTGTGAAATAGAGTAAATTGTTGATCACTCTCACACAAGCATAATCATTAATTTATAGTTTTCATCTATACAAATTGTATAGCATCTTTCTTTGTCTGTCTTCGAAAACCTAACAGGTTTTTTAGTTACTATTGCATATAAGTTAACAACATCTTTGAACTCCTTTCTATTATCAAAACACATCTCAATCTCAACTTCGGATGGAAAAAGTCAGCCTCATGGAAAGTGGTAAATTTGTTGAGGCCAGCCCGTTCAGGAATTCAAGCAAATCCCTCATTTTTTGGTCATTGTCCATCACATCTAGTTCATTCACATCATTGTCACTGACATTCAATTCATCCCAAGTAGGTACAACACTCTATTTACAATGTGGTATTTCATTCTCCCCCCCCCCCCTCTCGTCCTCCTCTGAAAGATTCTTACCAATATCTATATTAAAATAATGTATATATGCTTCATCATCAAGTACATTCAAAAGTCCCTTTTGACCATCTACAGTTAAACTAACATCACCTACCTCATCACAACTATCCATATGATTCTCTATCTCATCTATTGAGTCAGCATATTCTGAAAATAATAATTTGTCATCACCGAAATTGTCGCTCAACATCATAGTTACTATTTCATCAGACAATAGTTCATCACTAACTTCTACCAAACATTCCCCTATGAAAAAACTTATATGTTGATCAACCTCTAATCTCATTATCTTCTTCCAAATATTTAGCAACATTTACATCATCTAATACACTTTAAAAATGACCATAAAAAGTAAGAACGAATTTTTTTATTGTCTTTTAAATTCAAAACTAGCAACATAGAACTGTAACGTTGTCAAAAGCCTTCAAACATTTTCATATACCCACCAACATACTTATGAAAAAAAGTTTAGAATATTTGACCTCTATAGTAGATATTCACACCCACTCATGGTAGTTGAAGGTCACCCACATCTCCTTCCGGAGCTAAAAATACAATTAAAATAAGAATTATTCAAAATTAAATACAATATCAAAAATAACTTAAAATAATCTAAGCGAATTTTGTCTTATAAGAAATGTTCTCAAAAAAAAAAAAAAAAAAAACTCTACTCAAAACCAAAAAAAAACAACTAAAAATACAACAATCAACTGAAAATCTTTCAGAATTTGATTCGATTTCTACTGAATGAACGATTCTAAAAAACGAATTTTAAAAAACTCAAAAAATTTCTAAACTTCGATTGACTTTCATTGGTATCATTTCTTGAAAAAATTTTATATCCCACCAAACCCCAACCAAGTTGACAGGGCTCGACCGCGTATAATTATGGCTATAATAATTTCTTTAGCCACAAAGTTCGATAAAGAACCAATGGTTCATAATATAGTTGAAAGAATGGAGAATAAAGACAAAATGATAGTGCAAAGAATGTGAATTAACATGGATGATAACCAACCAAGAGAATAAGTCTCGGATCTGAAATCAAAACCATAGTTAAAACACAAACAATAGGCTAAATCCCACTGCAAAGGATTAGAAGTCACGAACCGATAGAATCACTCCAACGACCCGATTGGAAAGAAGAGAGAATAAAGAAGAAAGGATAGTATAGAGAATGTGAATTAATATGGATGATAACCAACCACGAGAATAATTATCGGACCTGAAATCAAACTATAGGCTAAAACACAAACAATAGGCTAAATCCTATTGCAAAGGATTGGAAGCCACGAACCGATGAAATCACTCCAAAGACCCGATTTGAAAGAATAGAGGATAAAGAGGAATGGATAGTGCAAAGAATATGAATTAATATGGATGATAACCAACCACAAGAATAAGCCTTTGACCTGAAATCAAACCACACAAACAATAGGTTAAATCCTACTGCAAAGGATTGAAAGCCACGAACTGATGGAATCACTCCAAGGACCCGATTTGACATATCTAAGTAGAAGAAAATCACATCCTAACACTAGACAAATATGAGAGGGAACAATAAAGAAATTTTATTCAAGATTCACTCTACTCTATTGCAATGATAGGCAAGGACCTTATGTAGAGATCCTTGAGAAAAATAAAAATGAACAAATAATTAAAAAAAAAAACAAACCAAAAGGTAAGTCTAACTATAAAGAAACAAATAATAAAGAGAGTTCCAGATATGAAATTATACTATATAGAAACTTATAATAAAATGTAATATATAATAAGGTAACTTTGAAATTCTTTCATAATTATTTTTTGTCTTAATCTTAAAGTCCCGACTCTTATGATTCTGGCATCGGGATGACTCGGTTGGATGAC